TAGAAAATCAAATTCCCACCAAATAAAAATATGAAAAATCAGTTTTAGTGCAAAATACGATTTATGCTAAAAATGATGGCTCGTTAAGTCAATATATACTTCATACTAAAATCTCATAAAATCAAGTTTTCTTATTTGATGTATAAGGAATAAAAGCCGCCAAAAATTATCTTGAGAAAATGATTATTCCGAAAAACCATTTTTCATACTTAGTCAATATTGCACCTCAGCTAAAAAAAATTATGGGTCTGCCAATGGTGGCAGGTGTTGAGGTCCAAAAAATCCAAGGCTAGGCCCAAATATAATCTCGGCCCGATGCTATACCTTATCGAGAAGAAACCCGATTTGGGCACGCGAAAGTTCGTCATATGCGCTTGCACACATGCCATGCCAAGCAAATAAGCAACACACCACGCTACAAGCTTAAGTGGGCCCAAGCCACGCGAACGCCTGGGGCTTGCTGAGTGGGTTGTGGTATGGATTGTTACAAGTATTCACGAGGCTCATTGATGGTCCAAGGAATGGAAGTTTTGGGCTACTTGAGAGCACCAAAACTCAAGCTCATTCCTTGAGCCCAAACATATGGGTAAGCATGAGAGAAAAACCTAGTAGCCCATCACCTTAAAAAAACCTAGTAGCCCATCACCTTAAGAAAACCTAATAGCCCATAACACGTGAGAAAATCCCACATTAGCCAAAGCTTCCAGCAGTCTGACGAAATCAAAGGGAACTCACAAGCCGCTGGAAACAAAACAGCCCAGCCCAGAACCTTATAAAATATCCAATGTCGTGCAAAACCATATCGTAGCCAAACCACCAAAACCAAGCAAACCCATGTGCTGATCACCTTTTTGACCAAGCACCCTTACCCATTCTTTCCTCTTCAAGCTTTGGTGAGAAAACAAGAAACAAAAGTGGGCGGCTCCTCACCCACATGGAGAAGTCCAGCTGCCTGAGGACCTTGGAACCCCAAAAAGCTGCGTGCCTATGGGTTCAGGCTAGGGAAATTTCACCGAACAAGAGTAAATGGAAGAAAGTGAGGAAAATGGGAGAGGGTGGCTTGACAAAATTAAGGTTTTTAACGCCTATAAAAGGAGCCACTTTCTTCCCAGCATTGGCCTCACATATTTCTTCAGATTGTGATGAGGTCTATATCACACATGTTCCATACCAAGGTACCTAATTATGAATAATATGTGCAAATCCAATCACAATTCTCTGTTCTCATCTTTTTCAATGTATAATATAAAAATAGATAATCGCATTTCCATTAATAAAAGTAGGTAATTACATTGTATGTTCCAAAATAAAGATCCCAAACTAAGTCTAGACTTTGTACAACCAAAAGTAAGTCTAGAGCAAGTGTGTTCCAAAATAAAGATCCCAAACTAATTCTAGACTTTGTACAACCAAAAGTAAGTCTAGAGCAAGTGTGTTCCAAAATAAAGATCCCAAACTAATTCTAGACTTTGTACAACCAAAAGTAAGTCTAGAGCAAGTGTGTTCCAAAATAAAGATCCCAAACTAATTCTAGACTTTGTACAACCAAAAGTAAGTCTAGAGCAAGTGTGTTCCAAAATAAAGATCCCAAACTAATTCTAGACTTTGTACAACCAAAAGTAAGTCTAGAGCAAGTGTGTTCCAAAATAAAGATCCCAAACTAATTCTAGACTTTGTACAACCAAAAGTAAGTCTAGAGCAAGTGTGTTCCAAAATAAAGATCCCAAACTAATTCTAGACTTTGTACAACCAAAAGTAAGTCTAGAGCAAGTGTGTTCCAAAATAAAGATCCCAAACTAATTCTAGACTTTGTACAACCAAAAGTAAGTCTAGAGAGCAAGTGTATGTTCCATATGGATATAATCCCTAAATCAGTTCTCATCAAGATTCTGGTTTGCTAGTTCATCATAATAGTCATCATCAGAATGGACACCATTACTACCTCTAGAGCTGGTGCTGGTCTGGACATGAGCTGGTGCTGAGCTGGTGCTGGTCGGATGTGATAAGTCCACCTCAAACAATACCTATATCAAACATGCATAAAAATTAGTGTAGAAACCTTTTTATATCTCTGTAAAAGTATGATATCTCGAATTTCCCAAGCAATCATTTCTTTGAAACTCATAGCAATAATTACTAAAATTACTTGATTGATCCCATGCATTAGTTTTCGAGCTGTTTTTCATATGTATCTCAACATAATGGAGCAGAACAATTGAAGGGAAGAATATTCTAGTTTAATTTCGAATGCAGCATTGTGTTTCATTTAGAAACAAGTGCAACAGTAACAGTTTTCAGTTTTCCTTAGAAGAAAATACCACTATAATGGAATTTTTATTTAGAATTATCTTGTAGAAGTATAATTAGATTTTCAGTTTTCTTAATCATTTTTTTTGGAGAAGTCCAGCTGCCTGAGGACCTTGGAACCCCAAAAAGCTGCGTGCCTATGGGTTCAGGCTAGGGAAATTTCACCAAACAAGAGTAAATGGAAGAAAGTGAGGAAAAGGGGAGAGGGTGGTTTGACAAAATTAAGGTTTTTAACGCCTATAAAAGGAGCCACTTTCTTCCCAACAAAACACACAACAAACCGATCGAAGGCAAGCATCCACTACAAGAAAACATGCCTTTTGTGAGGAGGGGTAGTCGTCACTGAAACATGGAATTTCGTCACAGTTGAGTATATGTGACGCAATTTTAACGTCACAGCTTTCGTCACCTATACCCCGTCACCGATTCTCCCACGTGACGCTTTCTTCCTTCGTCACATATACCCGATATCTGTGACACATACCGCGTCACTATACGTTTGATTATGTGGCCGTTCGTTTGTCACTTCCTACAGCTATTAGTGATGCGTGATTTGGGTCACGGTTTAGCGGCATCTGTGAGGAGTAATTCCTCTCCTAAATTGGGTATAAAATGTTCCTTCCTATACAATACGTGACCCTTTAGGCATCACATATTTATGTAATGTGTGATGACGCATGCATCACATATTTTTTTAATGTGTGACGATGCACACGTCACATAATTTTGTAGTATGTGACGATATATACATAAAATGTCTTTTTATCTGTGACAATCTTGGCCTCACATATTTCTTCAGATTGTGATGAGGTCTATATCACACATGTTCCATACCAAGGTACCTAATTATGAATAATATGTGCAAATCCAATCACAATTTTCTGTTCTCATCTTTTTCAATGTATAATATAAAAATACATAATCGCATTTCCATTAATAAAAGTAGGTAATTACATTGTATGTTCCAAAATAAAGATCCCAAACTAAGTCTAGACTTTGTACAACCAAAAGTAAGTCTAGAG